TATTTGACCAATTACAACTTATTCTATTCATATATATATTATTACGAGAAATTATACCATCTTATATTCATATTATAAGGTCAAATCCTTAGGACCTTTTGTTATCTAAGTAATTAAGATCTATACTAGAGGACCCCATTGGAAATAAGCTGCCACCCAGCTTTCATGGGATATCCTAGGTTAAAGCTTAGTCAAACAGATACATTGTAATTATAGTGCTCCAAAATTTGTGATATTAACTTTGATGTGATAAGCTAAATACTGTGATAAATCTGTGATTATTATGCAATTGAAATCTGTGATCATATGTGATATTTGTACCTGTATCTTGCTTTTACCGAATAAATATTATTATTATATTATGTACATCATGGTAAACAATGAGGCCTCAGATATAAATTGATCAATTGTACCATGCGCCTGTACATGTGTTTTGCATGAAAACAAGAAATACACCGACTGTTTTCTTATAAGATGTGATAGATACTTTTTATTTAAAGTCGGTGGGCATTTTAAAACAAATATACAGTAGGCCTACAGTAAGGTCTAGTAGAGCTTTTGACAGACATGTGGGACAAGATTCGAAAGTAATTTACCGGAAGTTAATCAACTAGCTGACGAACATTTTTGAATGGAGGGGTCAAGTTAAACATTCATTATACCTGTATCTGTGTCACATAGTTTTCGTCAATTTCTTCTTCGTCTCTGAAACCCCCGCCCGACATCGCCATTTTGAAACACGTTTGGTATCCAAGACTTGATTGGTCAATTTCCCCTGATAAATTCCAAGAGGTTCCGAAAATGGAGATATCCTAAGCGTGTTGTTGACCAGGAATGTTTTGGAATCGGGACACCTCGGAATAGATCATACAGAGAGCATGGCCGATTCATGTCACTTCAACGAGGAAATACCCGAAATTAAATATCAATGTAAGTTGAAGTGTTCAGATATATTAATTGGTATTAGCCTAGCAGTCATATCTGAAACAATGAAGAAACAGTAACGTTGGTGAAATTAGCGATTGCCGAAGTGAAAGAACAAGGTTCACAATGATCCTTGTGTCATGTCTGTTGATGGTGAAATCTTTAGAATAGAGGCCTGTACTCTTTAACAAGGGCGAATCATCGAACCTCTTCTATTGGTCTACACATAATTAGATAGATTGCAGAATTCAATTGAAATGATGTTAATATAAAAAGCACCCTGTCTCGTACTGACAAGTATTTTTTGTTATGATCTTAAAAGTTAAAGCTGGATTTTGGATTTTAAAATTTAATTCAAAACGTTTGAAATACCAGATTCAATTAAGTGCCAATGCTGACATCAATTGAGCTACATGGTATCTGGTGATCTATCAACCAAGTCCAGTTCCACATCATTCCTCTCTGTATTAGGACGAGGAATAGTGAAAAAGATAGCTCGAACCCGCGACCATTGGCTCTCAAGCCTGATGCTCTACAGCTGACGCTTGTAATTAAGGCAACACAATCAATGTACATCTTTTACACTCCCTCAATCATTACGGATTTTCCTCTGAAGATGTAAGTAACATGCCGGCAATCACCCATCCTGCCACTGACCACACTCGACATGCTGAACATTAGTGAGCGCGTCCAAGGGTTATAACTAAGCGCTGGAAAAGCTATCTTGCCAGTAATGAAGTAGTTTTCCAATTCCCTTTACATTCTTGGCTGTTACACTGTTCCCCGCCTCGGAGAAGTCTTGTCCCGAGACTTGGCCAAGGCAATCCTTGTATGTCCTCCCTGTGCATCAATGCACCTTCCCTATCCACAAGGAGTTGGCCTTACAAGGTACACTAGCTACTACCAAATGTAATGTGTGGGCAGTCATTCATCTGGCAACTGACCACACTCAATGTTGCTGAACTAGTGAGGGAATCCCAGGGTTATTCCTCATTGTACCTGCTGCCCTCATTGCATGATCGTAAGAGGCGGTTAAATTTGGGATCTTATCTTTTCTCTTCTTTCTATACAACTTTCTTCTTCCTAATGTCTCCCTTGACAATGCCTCACTTTTGGCCTTTAGTTGAGCGTTCGCTCCTGTGAGGAAGGCTTGGGGTTCTGTCCCCTGGCCGAGACATACTAGAGTCTGTTAAAATAGTCATTCCTTAGATCTGCTTAACGCTCAGGAATTTAGGAGTGGGGTGACTGGTTCGCGCATTGTCAGTATAAGGTGAATGGGTGGGGTGTCCTGCTGGGTGTCTTCAGTAGTATATTTTAGTGAGGTAGCACTATATAAAGTCGGCATCAGTTTTGCGCTATTACAAGGAGACAAACACGAACATATATCGCAGCCTCCCAAAACACACACATCTTGCACACAGGGGAGGCCGTCCTTAAATGACCATAGCTGTTGATAGGACGTTAAACAATACTAAACCGAACCAAACCATTATTCCTTATTGCTGGAACTAGCTTGCCAGTAAGAAAATATTTTCTAATTTCTCGGCTATTACAGAGACACCTTGTTTGGGTGAAAAACATAACAGGGAAGGAAAAAGCGATGGCCAGAAAGGGGTTACTGGTGATTGACCTAGTCCAATTCTGCTCAATCCTACTTCCTTCAACAAAGTCTTTGACTCCAAGTTACATGAGCCTGTATATAATTATTTGTGGGTATATTATATATTTGGCTGCTAAATGTCACATGAAAGGGGAAATATAACAGATGTGCATAGTGTTATAACATTAGACACGTATACCATTACTGGAGGTGTGTCATGTAGTATTTTCATGATACTTGCCCAAAGGCACTAGAGTTTCAAATATCTTAAGAGAATTTAATGATCATACAAGCATGCTATATGGGGCAGCATCCAGCAGCTGGGACACCATGGACAAGGAGGTGTTGATCATTTCTCTTGATTTTTCATATGATTTGATATAAGGTTATTTTCTTTACTTTCCAGATCTTGACCACACGGCAGATGTGCAGTAAGTAACAATTTCTTTATATGGAATTTAATTTCAAATGATCAAACCTGAAACAAATATAAAGAAAGAAATTGCAATGAAAAAAAAATCAAAATCATATATTTAAGGTAAAAATTTCGATTTAATATTGATTTAAATTCCATAAAAATGGTTGACCATTTTGCTTGTGGCACAGTTATGTTGGACTATGGTAGAAAGAACATTTTGATGAGATAAGATCATGTTGAGATGATCATGTTGGCAGACAATAAGTTTATGAAAGGCTTTTTTTCTGGCTGAATTGGAAAAATGTCCATGGTGTAAATTGGGAAAAATCAATGATAATTCAGCTTGGTGTGTCAATAAATTCTAACATACAACACTGTTTACCAAATGTTAACCCTTCATTGTTAATTGCTATCCAAAGAGCCAGTTTTCTAACCATCTTCACATTTCTCAACAAAATATCTAAAAGACTGAAAAATCCTGATTAATCAAAGATTATTTCATTTGATGTGTTCAAGTTTGCATTGTTGGCTGAATTTTTTTTTTGAAATTTTGAAATTTTAGAGATATGACTTAATGTGGTGAGAAAAAAACACATTATTTTCCATCAGGAATTGAGCCAAATATTTGCCACAAAATAGCCCCAAAAATGTGTTATATGCTACTTTAATAATTTGTGTTTTGTGTTGTGTTTCAGGTTATATTCATGTATCCTTTTTCTTTATGACAAGTCTGCATGGCTTTATAACATTGTGTCTTTACACTTGTCCGGCTTTTTGAATAGTAATTAGTGGGTGTGTCTGTTGTACAATATCATAGAAATAATTAACAATATTTATATTTGTGCTTTCCATAAAAGTATAACAAGAATTTTTCTTTTCACATCTATGTATATTTCAAACATTTGTATTGTCAAAAAAGTTTGAGTTAAAATTGACTAAAACTGGACAAAATGTAACGAGTAACTTAAACATGACGTACCAATACAGGTTTGGAGTTTTAGCAATAAGAGGTTTTAATTGTTTATATAGAACTAAACAGATCTTATTGGTCAAGATGTTGGCATGCTCAGGGGCTGAATTAGGCAAGTTTCACCGAGTAATTTTATTAACTGTAATGTAGTATTTTTTTCTATAGAATAATACATATGGGCCTACTGTATTTATAATATCCAGGAAAAGTATGAATTTGAAGTAAAAATATTTTGAAATCGGTTTACTATGAAGTATTTGGGTTTGTGGAAGTATGTTAAATTAGAAAATTTAAAGCTTAACCAATCTCAGGGGGAGATAACCTGACAGAAGCTTTTGAGCAGGTTGCCACGGCAATGTTTGGGTACATGACAACAGATTACGATACCGTAGAGATGACATCTGTAGAGGAAACAGAAGCAGAAGGTGAGTAGTGTTAACTATTGTCATTATCTCTGATTGTTAGTAGTGTTAACTATTGTCATTATTTCTGATAGTTAGTAGTGTTAACTATTATCATTATCTCTGATTGTTAGTAGTGTTAACTATTGTCATTATTTCTGATAGTTAGTAGTGTTAACTATTATCATTATCTCTGATAGTTAGTAGTGTTAACTATTGTTATTATCTCTGGTTGTTAGTAGTGTTAACTATTATGATTATCTCTGATTGTTAGTAGTGTTAACTATAATCATTCTATTGTCATTATCTCTGATTGTTAGTAGTATTAACTATTGTCATTATCTCTGATTGTTAGTAGTGTTAACTATTTTCATTATCTCTGGTTGTTAGTAGTGTTAACTATTGTCATTATAGTTAGTAGTGTTAACTATTGTTATTATCTCCGGTTGTTAGTAGTGTTAACTATTATGATTATCTCTGATTGTTAGTGGTGTTAACTATTGCCATTATCTCTGATTGTTAGTAGTGTTAACTATAATCATTCTATTGTCATTATCTCTGATTGTTAGTAGTATTAACTATTGTCATTAACTCTGGTTGTTAGTAGTGTTAACTATTGTCATTATAGTTAGTAGTGTTAACTATTGTTATTATCTCCGGTTGTTAGTAGTGTTAACTATTATGATTATCTCTGATTGTTAGTAGTGTTAACTATAATCATTATCTCTGATTGTTAGTAGTGTTAACTATAATCATTCTATTGTCATTATCTCTGATTGTTAGTAGTTATCTCTGGTTGTTAGTAGTGTTAACTATTATGATTATCTCTGATTGTTAGTAGTGTTAACTATTATCATTATCTCTGATTGTTAGTAGTGTTAACTATTATCATTATCTCTGATTGTTAGTGGTGTTAACTATTGCCATTATCTCTGATTGTTAGTAGTGTTAACTATAATCATTATCTCTGATTGTTAGTAGTGTTAACTATTGTCATGATTTCTGATTGGGAAAAATGTTAACTATTGTCATTGTTTATGATTGTTAGTAGTGTTAACTATTGTCATTATCTCTGGTTGTAAGTAGTGTTAACAATTGTCATTATCTCTGATTGTTAGTAGTGTTAACTATTGCCATTATCTCTGATTGTTATTATTGTTAACTATTGTCATTATCTCTGATTGTTAGTAGTTATCTCTGGTTGTTAGTAGTGTTAACTATTATGATTATCTCTGATTGTTAGTAGTGTTAACTATTATCATTATCTCTGATTGTTAGTGGTGTTAACTATTGCCATTATCTCTGATTGTTAGTAGTGTTAACTATTATCATTATCTCTGATTGTTAGTGGTGTTAACTATTGCCATTATCTCTGATTGTTAGTAGTGTTAACTATTATCATTATCTCTGATAGTTAGTAGTGTTAACTATTGTTATTATCTCCGGTTGTTAGTAGTGTTAACTATTATGATTATCTCTGATTGTTAGTAGTGTTAACTATAATCATTATCTCTGATTGTTAGTAGTGTTAACTATTTTCATTATCCCTGGTTGTTAGTAGTGTTAACTATTGTCATTATCTCGGATTGTTAGTAGTGTTAACTATTGTCATTATCTCGGATTGTTAGTAGTGTTAACTATTGTCATTATTTCTGATAGTTAGTAGTGTTAACTATTATCATTATCTCTGATTGTTAGTGGTGTTAACTATTGCCATTATCTCTGATTGTTATTAGTGTTAACTATTGTCATTATCTCTGATTGCTAGTAGTGTTAACTATTGTCATTATTTCTGATTGGGAAAAGTGTTAACTATTGTCATTATTTCTGATTGGGAAAAGTGTTAACTATTGTCATTATTTCTGATTTTTAGTAGTGTTAACTATTGTCATTATCTCTGATTGCTAGTAGTGTTAACTATTGTCATTATTTCTGATAGTTAGTAGTGTTAACTATTATCATTATCTCTGATAGTTAGTAGTGATAACTATTGTTATTATCTCTGGTTGTTAGTAGTGTTAACTATTGTCATTATTTCTGATTGGGAAAAATGTTAACTATTTTCATTATTCTGATTGGGAAAAATGTTAACTATTGTCATTGTTTCTGATTGTTAGTAGTGTTAACTATTGTCATTATTTCTGATTGGGAAAAATGTTAACTATTGTCATTATTTCTGATTGGGAAAAATGTTAACTATTGTCGTTATTTCTGATTGGGAAAAATGTTAACTATTGTCATTATTTCTGATTGGGAAAAAATAATGTTTTATTGATTTTTGGTTGAAAGAGGAAAAGTGAGCATATCGAAGATGCTTACACTAATACTGTACTTTGTTTAGTTCATTAACATTTTAATTTCATGAAAAGAGAAACATGATTATATTTACTATATCACCAGGAATTAGACTCCCATAGTCACAGTTATCTCCCTTTAGACAGGTAAAGTATTGACAAACTATTGAATACCATAGTTCTTTGTATTTCAATTTTCTTGGTTATTTTCCACTTTTAGCTCACCTGGCATGAAGTCAATATTTTACTTTAAACAACTTCTTCTTAATAACCAAAATGCCTAGGGTGATGATATTTGGCCAGAAGCAAACTGGGATGAAGGGCTACAAAGTTTGTTCAAATGAATGACCTTCACCCATATTCAAGGTCACAGGGTTCAAATATGTTAAAAACTTTAAACAACTTCTTCTGAATAACCAAAATGCCCAGGGTGATGATATTTGGGCCAGTAGCATGCTAAGATGAACGGCTTCAAAGTTTGTTCAAATGAATGACCTTCACCTATATTCAAGGTCACAGTGGTCAAATATGTTAAAAACATTAAACAACTTCTGAATAACCAAAATGCACAGGGTGATGATATTTGGTTAATAGCATGCTGGGGTAAAGGGCTTTGAACTTTGTTCAAATGAATGACTTTCACCTATATTCAAGGTCACAGGGGTCAAATATGTGAAAAACATTAAACAACCTCTCCTGAATAACCAAAATGCCCAGGATGATGATATTTGGCCAGTAGCATGCTGAGATGAAGGGCTACAAAGTTTGTTCAAATGAATGACCTTCACCCATATTCAAGGTCACAGGGGTCAAATATGTTAAAAACTTTAAACAACTTCTTCTGAATAACCAAAATGCCCTGGGTGATGATATTTAGTCAGTAGCATACTAGGATCAAGGGCTACCAAGTTTGTTTAAATGTATGACCTTGAATCATATTCAAGGTCACAAGGAGCAAATATGTTTAAAATATTTCAACAACTTGTTCTGAATAACCAAAAGGCTCAGGATGTTGATATTTAGTTAGTAGCATATGCTGGGATCAAGGACTACTATGTTTGTTAAAGTGAATGACTTTGACTTATATTCAAGGTCACAGGGGTCAAATTTGTTTAAAATCTTTAAACAACCTCTTATGAATAACCATGGGTCCCAGGATGTTTATACTTTGCAAGTTGCATCCTGAGATGAAAGGCTATACAATGTGTTCAACATAATGACTTTGTTCGACTTTCAATCACAGGGGTGAATTGTTTTAAAAAAAAATAACAGGGTCTTTTGAACGAATTTTAATCATAAATACTGATATTTTGCCTGTAGCTTTATTTTAGATCACTTTTAAGGTTACAAGTGTGAGTTTTATACCAGGTGAGCGATGCAGGCCCATTGGGCCTCTTGTTGTATTAACCGGAAAAATCATGGCAAATGCTGTCTGCTTCGCTTCGAATGAGGAAAAACTCATTATTTATGTCTTTGACATGATTTTTTTCTCATATAATCATCGATTTATGGAAAGGAATATTTATTGGACCCTTTTGACCATTTAAATGTATGTAAACACGATATACTGTTTCTTAATCCGAACTTTGAAAATGTGATCCTCAGCATCGGGAAAATCAGCTATGGGCAGTTAGAGGCTACACGGCGCCTGTCAAAAGATTTTCGCCGTGTAAAACCTCTTAACATTGTTGGAGTAATGCATGTATAAGAAACAGGAAATTGCTTTGCTTTGGCCTTGTTATGTTTTGGTAAGGGATTTCTATGTGTTGGATTCAGGCGAAGACATGCAGCAGCTCCTGTTTCACTTCCTAGACGAATGGCTGTTTGTGTTTAGTGCCGATCCGTTCTTCATACCAAGGGTATGTTGTTTACTGCAAATTATAGGGGGAGGGGAGACGAGGGAAGGAGGCCAAGGGTATGTTGTTTACTGGAAATTATAGGGGGAGGGGAGACGAGGGAAGGGGGCCAAGGGTATGTTGTTATACTGTAAATTATAGGGGGAGGGGAGACGAGGGAAGGGGGCCAAGGATATGTTGTTATACTGTAAATTATAAGGGGAGGGGAGACGAGGGAAGGGGACACAAAGGGTTTATTCTTATACTTTAAATTATAGGGGGAGGCGAGACGAGAAGGGGAGACCAAGGGTATGTTATTATACTGTAAATTAAAGGGGGAGGGAAGACGAGGAGGAGGGGACACAAAGGGTATGNTACTGTAAATTATAGGGGGAGGGGAGACGAGGGAAGGGGGCCAAGGGTATGTTGTTATACTGTAAATTATAAGGGGAGGGGAGACGAGGGAAGGAGGCCAAGGGTATGTTGTTATACTGTAAATTATAAGGGGAGGGGAGACGAGGGAAGGGGACACAAAGGGTTTATTCTTATACTTTAAATTATAGGGGGAGGGGAGACGAGAAGGGGAGACCAAGGGTATGTTATTATACTGTAAATTAAAGGGGGAGGGAAGACGAGGAGGAGGGGACACAAAGGGTATGTTCTTATACTGTAAAGTATAGGGGGAGGGAAGACAATGAGGGAAGACCAATGGTATGTTGTTATAGTGTAAATTATAGGAGAAGGGAGACAGGGAAGAGGGGAGACCAAGGATATGTTCCTATACTGTAAATTATAGGGGGAGGGGAGACGAGAAGGGGAGACCAAGGATATGTTGTTATACTGTAAATTATAGGGGAAGGGGAGACCAAGGATATCTTCTGATACTGTAAATTACAGGGAAAGGGGAGACTAGGAGGAGGGGATGTCAAGGGTATCTTCTTATACTGTAAATTACATGGGAAGGGGAGACGAGGAGGAGGGGAGACCAAGGGTATCTATGTATACTGTAAATTACAGGGGAAGGGGAGACGAGGAGGAGTGGAAACCAAGGGTATCTATGTATACTGTAAATTACAGGGGAAGGGGAGACGAGGAGGAGTGGACACCAAGGGTATCTTCTTTTACTGTAAATTACAGGGAGACACCCTGTTCTTATACTGTAAATTATAGGAGGAGTCCCGGGAGGCCAACGGTATATTTTTTGTAAATTATAGAGGGAGGGGAGACAAGGAGGAGGGGAGGCCAAGGGTATGGTCTTGTACTGTAAATTATAAGGGGAGGGGACACTAGGAGGAGGGGAGACCAGGGGAAGGGGAGACCCCCTGTTCAAAAACTGTAAATTATGATACTTTCAATAACTGGGTACTTTCTTTTATGGTTAATAGTTTGATGTTTTGAGCATATCTATGGTAAATACAGAATATAAAAAAATGGAATGATTCACAAAAGTTTTTGTTTAAGTTCAAGGGGAGATCAAACTAGCATATTCATATGGTGAATGCAATTTGGTAGACTGAACCAATGTGTCATCTGCTTAGGTAGGCAGGTGTGAATCCATCTGTCATCTGCTTAGGTAGGTACACTGTAGGTGTGAATCAATCTGTCATCTGCTTAGGTAGGTGAGGATAAATTGTATAAAATGTTTGCATTAAACTTGCTAACAAAACGTAAAAACATGTAAACAAAGGCACTAGTTGTTGAAGTGAGTCGTCAAATTGTTAGTCTATTAGTGAATTCTTTACCTATTTAGTTCCTACCATTAAAGGTACTTTTATTGAGATGCACCCCATCAGCCAGCCCTTCAGTGTGTAACTGTTAGTCTATTAGTGAATTCTTTACCTATTTAGTTCCTACCATTAAAGGTACTTTTATTGAGATGCACCCCATCAGCCAGCCCTTCAGTGTGTAACTGTTAGTCTATTAGTGAATTCTTTACCTATTTAGTTCCTACCATTAGAGGTACTTTTATTGAGATGTTCCCCCATCAGCCAGCCCTTCAGTGTGTAACTGTTAGTCTATTAGTGAAATCTCTACCTATTTACATTAGTTCCTACCATTAGAGGTACTTTTATTGAGATGCACCCCATCAGCCAGCCCTTCAGTGTGTAACTGTTAGTCTATTAGTGAAATCTCTACCTATTTACATTAGTTCCTACCATTAGAGGTACTTTTATTGAGATGCACCCCATCAGCCAGCCCTTCAGTGTGTAACTGTTAGTCTATTAGTGAAATCTCTACCTATTTACATTAGTTCCTACCATTAGAGGTACTTTTATTGAGATGCACCCCATCAGCCAGCCCTTCAGTGTGTAACTGTTAGTCTATTAGTGAAATCTCTACCTATTTACATTAGTTCCTACCATTAGAGGTACTTTTATTGAGATGCACCCCATCAGCCAGTCCTTCAGTGTGTCACGTTATCCAGGGCAAATCTTCTATACTCTATTAACAACAACTGTATACATTTTCATGAGAAAACCTATTGGGAATGTAGAACATCACATACTAAATATAGGTATTTTGCCCCATTACTTACATAGTTCGTGCCATTTTTCTGTGTGGGTCACTTTGTAAGGGGAGACTGGATTTTAGTCTTTTATATCATTTACAAATCCAGGGAAACCATTAAAGAAACCGATAATACTTGAAAATTGTTCAAAATTTTTAATTTATTTAACTGATTAATTATTTTCATTTTTGCAGAAAATAGTGATAACAGAATTTGACAGAGAAAACTTCAAAATCAAGTCGAAAGGGTATGTTTTGAAAGATACTTATACGTACATGTATAGTACTTCCCACTTAAGGAATAAGGGTCCAGTACCACTGCAAAAAATGTAACAGAAATTGGAAGCATTTTAATGACATGACAGTGGCTTTAACAAGATAAAAATGGAACAAATCAATAACACTGTTTTGAAAATAAAAATGAAATTGGTTCAGACGATAATTTCAAGCCCTGGACCTCCGATCATAAATTGGTCACTAGCTGACTGAGCTATTTGATATTAAGCGAACTGTGAAATAAAGCAGTGAACTGTGACATTAAGCAGTGAGCTGTGACATTAAGTAATGAATTGTGACATTAAGCACTGAACTGTGACATTAAGTAGTGAACTGTGAAATTAATCAGTGAACTGTGACATTTAGCAGTGAACCGTGACATTAATCAGTGAACTGTGACATTATGTAATGAACTGTGACATTAAGTAGTGAGCTGTGACATTAAGTAGTGAACTGTGACATTAAGCAGTTAACCGTGACATTAAGAAGTGAACTTTGACATTAAACAGTGAACTGTGACATTAAGTAGTGAACTGTGACATTAATCAGTGAACTGTGACATTAAGTAGTGAAATGTGACATTAAGCAGTGAACTGTGACATTAAGTAGTGAACTGTGACATTAAGCACTGAACTGTGACATTAAGTAGTGAACTGTGACATTAAGCAGTTAACCGTGACATTAAGTAGTGAACTGTGACATTAATCAGTGAACTGTGACATTAAGTAGTGAACTGTGACATTAATCAGTGAACTGTGACATTAAGTAGTGAAATGGGACATTAAGCAGTGAACTGTGGCATTAAGTAGTGAACTGTGACATTAAGCACTGAACTGTGACATTAAGTAGTGAACTGTGACATTCATCAGTGAACTGTGACATTATGCAGTGAACCGTGACATTAATCATTGAACTGTGACCTTAAGCAGTGAACTGTGACATTAATCAGTAAACTGTGACATTAAGTAGTGAACTGTGACATTAAACAGTGAACTGTGACATTAAGTAGTGAACTGTGACATTAAGCAGTGAACTGTGACATTAAGTAGTGAACTGCGACATTAAGTAGTGAACTTTGACATTAAGCAGTGAACTGTGACATTAATCAGTGAACTGTGACATTAAGTAGTGAACTGTGACACTGAGCAGTGAACTGTGACATTAAGTAGTGAACTGTGACATTAATCAGTGAACTGTGACATTAAGTAGTTAACTGTGACATTGAGCAGTGAACTGTGACATTGAGTAGTGAACTGTGACATTAATATAAATAAGCTGGGATTAAGTAGTGAACTGTGACATTAAGTAGTGAACTGTGACATTGAGCAGTGAACTGTGACATTAAGTAGTGAACTGTGACATTAAGCAGTGAACTGTGACATTAAGTATTGAACTGACATTAATCATTGAACTGTGACATTAAGAAGTGAACTGTGACATTTAGCAGTGAACTGTGACATTAATCAGTAAACTGTGACATTAAGCAGTGAGCTGTGACATTAAGCAGTGAAGTATGCTGTAACACATACATGTTAACATAATAGAAGTAACCTTTACCAGAAGTTCATTAGGAGTTGGAACAAGATACTTTCCGAAGTCTGTTACAATCAACTAGGTAGTATAACCTCAATTTAAACTGTTGACTGCAAATACTCATATTGGACATATAGATAAGCCAAATATAGAAATTCTAGATCTGTAATTCTAAATATGATATATTTTGGATATAAGTTTGAAATGAAGTGGAATGTATATTTGGTTTGGTTTAATTTTAGGTATGGTGAAGAATTTGTCATTGGAAAGCATCCCCAGGTAGATTATTTATTTACATTTATTCACATACTACTTTTAGTCATTGTTAATTCAACTCAGATAGGTGATGATTTCCTCTCCAGTGGAGGTCCATTGCATTTGGCAATAAAATAAAATGCAGAAGTCAACTATACAGTTGGAAAAAAATGCTTTTGACATTGTCACAACTAAGAAGTATTGAGTTGATATAATTGATTATTGCATTTGTGTTAGAAATTATAATACAATAAAAATGTATGTAAAAGTAAAAAAAATAATATATTGCAACATTCTTTATTGATTGAAATATAATGCAGGATTTGTTCAGACTGTAATACATCATATTATACAAGCATTAGTTGTAAATGCATACATCATCCTATAAAAATCTTAAATGTATTTCCTAGTAAATTATATACGGTTGTGATGTCTGCAATCTTACACAACCAGCACTCATATCTATTGTTTCAATTTAATGTCCATGAGATCAGGCTTTGTAGCCTTTGCCATGATCATTAAGACATGAAACGGTCCCTTTTATGTACAAATAAACTAAATCAAAAGGGAAATGAGGGCCCTTAAGTTTGCAGAATTTAGAAAACAAAGTCAACAGCTGTTATTCATAATAGTAACAGATTGTTGGAATCAATTTCGTGAAGTGAGGAAAATATTAATCAGTGAATTGGGAGAGAGAAATTACTGTTTCTAAGAAGATATCAACTAATAAACAGTAAGAATGGTAAATTAATGAACTTGAGGAAATTAAATCAATGAATTGAGGAGATATGGATTAATGAACTGGAAGATATGTATCTTAACTAAATTGTGTTACTAACTGTGAGCTAGAAAAGATGTAAATTAACGAACTTGTGGCGATGAATATAAATAAGCGGGACGATATTAGATTTGGTGAACCAGGGGGAGATGTAAATTAACGAACTTGTAGTGATGAATATAAATAAGCTGGGCGATTTTAGAATTGGTGAACCAGGGGGAGATGTAAATTAACGAACTTGTGGCGATGAATATAAATAAGCTGGACGATATTAGAATTGGTGAACCAGGGTGAGATGTAAATTAACGAAATTGTGGCGATGAATATAAATAAGCTGGACGATATTAGAATTGGTAAACCAGGGGGAAATGTAAATTAACGAACTTGTGGCGATGAATATAAATAAGCGGGACGATTTTAGAAATGGTAAACCAGGGGGAGATGTAAATTAACGAACTTGTGGCGATGAATATAAATAAGCTGGACGATATTAGAATTGGTGAACAAGTGGGAGATGTGTTTGTTCATTGGATGTAAATCAATCAGCGGAAAAACAATAAGAGAAGACTGAAGAGTCAACAAAACAACACTTTGAACTCAAAATCGATAAAACTAGAACAAGATATGAACAAGGGAAAGCTTAGCATGGAGACCATTGAACAAATATCAGAAGACCAGGTGTTCCGGAGAGTAAAGCGTCTTTTGACAACACCCGTTATATAAATCTAGGTCAAATCCAAATCTTGGTAGTGACAACAAAATTACACGGCACTCTAATGAGCACAATAAAGAACATCTACCTTCAACCAACTTAAATGTAAACTTTTTAAAGGAACTGTAAATTAAGTAAGTAGATGAGATGTTTAATATTCTTTTGTAACTAGCGCAATATTACCATACCATTGCCCCGAAATTGGTTTCTCCTGATAAGTTGACATCGTTATTGAATTACTTTTAATGTGTTGGCTACGACTTCAAACTCCGAAACAAACATACCTAGTAGGAAATGTCATACCCCGGACTGGTCTACCCTTAATACCCGCTTAATTAAGGGTTGGATTTTGTCGTCCCTTCCTAAGGCGAGATGCTCTGCTAGTTTAATGAAAACAATTGATTGACGTTACTTTTTACAATAAGCTGACATCACAATATCATTATAGTTTTGCGTATAGATTTATTTTATTTACTGAAGCAATTCCTTTTAGAAGTGGGGAAATATTTCCAACTTTTAATTGTTAGTGTAACGTAATCGCCGTGATAGTGTACGGTCATTTCCCGGTTAAAGGTGATGGGGTGTAAAGATTGGAAGTGATAAAGTTAAGTTATGACTGGATCTTAAACGAACTCTGGTAACAGAAGTCTAGAATTTGTTTATGTTTCTATTTGCAGGGAACAGAAGTGAAGGCAATAACGTATTCAAACATGCAAATTCATGAAGATAAAAATGAGATTTTTGTTATTATTGATATTTGATGTACCGGTATACAAATTAACATGAACAACATTTATGTGGTGAATCATTGTACAATAAGCATTGAATGTTTAATGATTTTTTTATTATTATTTATTTGTCCGTTTCCTAATAAAATAATTTTACATTATATGAAAATGTCTTATGGTCTTTTCCCCCAGTTTTTCTTTTTACGTACATGTAATAATCAGGAGACATGTCAGGAGCCACGTGTGGTGCAGGAATTGATTCGTTTGAAGAGAATGCTGCCACTTCTGTTTTTGACACAAACGACAGTTCTCCTTCATTGGAGTGTTTGTTAGTCGTCACATTCAATGTTCCTTTGTGCAAAGAAAAGTGAATCTATCATGCCGTCTGTTTTTTTACAGGGTTTTATGAGTTTTGTTTCGTAGTTTCCTTGTTTCGACTTGGGCTCTGTCATATTTGGATATTTATTAGATGATTGATTTTGAAGGAAAGAAGAATATACTTCTATAAGCTTTGTCTAATGTCTTCAGTATCTGCTATCCGTCCCTTCATCCATCCATCCATCCCTCCACTCCATATCCATCCCTCCATCTCTAATTATTTGTATTTAATCTCGTCTTAATTTTTTTTTTTTTTATTCGTTTACCAATCATTCCGTCCATTTGTTATCACTCGTCTATTATGATTGAATCCGTCAAAAACCAATCGTCTGATACCTTTGACATAGTTGACTGCTAGATATTATTCCATATTCATATGAAGTCTTGCATTTAAAAAAAACACCGCCATAGAGCTGGGTTGATAGAAGCAAGTACAACCATGTATCAGATGGTGAAGAAACAACACGTCTTCTAGAATTGTATACGAAGCTGCATGTCTTCCGGTTACGAACCTATAGTGCTAAAAGCTTCAAGGCATCCAACCAGTGTTGCAAGTACCCGCTGACCAGCTAGTGCTCCATCGGTAGTATAGTATTTACACTCCATCGGTAGTATAGTATTTACAGTACGTCACTGCCGTCCATCTCCAACGTTTCTCCTTCACTTTGTTTTCTATAAGACGAGACTCTGAGACTTGACTGGTTTGATGTTTATGTGTGCCCGGGTAGTCCTCTGTGATTTTTAAGGTTTCTAAGCGTCCATTGTTCTCCAACAACTGTTTTTGTTTTCATCATCAAATCATCCATGAAGACTGCTGTCGGTGATTGTCTGGTGTCTGCCTCCATTGGATCATTGATTAGGTTCACTGTAGTTCCGAAAAGAATAAGATATTGTGTACCCGGTAACTAAACCAACTACCAGTCCTTGCCAACCAGTAGTGTTCCGATGGTAACGCGCATGCTTTCATTTTCATTACTTCCTTGATGGTCTAGATTTGTTCGTTAGTTGTTTTACCACACACTCTCTGACACTCCAGAACTGTCCCATCCTTGGCTGAGGTGTCCATGTAGTCTTTCTTGGTACTTATTTGGAGTAAGATGAGTATTGTGGTCCTTTCTACATTTAAGATTGGTATTATTCGGAACTAACAGATTGTCAAGAAATTCTCTTTATTTTTTAAGGAACCCTAAATCATCTACCGCAGCTTTCTGCCATTATTCGCGCTTCTGAACTACTCGACTGTCGTAACCTTTTCAGTACCACGGGCAGCTCTTGTAAATCCGCCTTGGTACCGACCCTACCTACCAGGTTTTGTTCTCTCCTTAATAATCCAATATGTAAAACTTCTGGAGAATGTATTTCACGTTCAGATAAAAAAACCGGTTGGTCTTTACAAAACATTAAGCTAAAGCTGCTTTTTTTCAATTTATAAGCTACAACATTTTCTTACTATAGTTAGTTAACACAGTAAACAAGTTGCTCTCTATAGCCTCTTTTTGACAACTGAAAATTGACGAAAACAAATCTACCGAACCCAAATTCCGATACAAGCGATGCAACTTATATGACTACAAAATCAAACTTTAATCTATGCTATGTACACTACAGAGTAGGAAGGGAATCTATGGTA